GTTTCTGCGTGTGCCCTCTCTCATGCTTTGCTCTTCTCCCTCTTTGCGTTGCGTAGCTGCAGGCACACACACACACACGGCCACACTGCCCACGGTGCATTTACATACCGCAGGGCACGTGGATGATTCCTTCGTAGTTGGTGCTGGCGGTGCGGTGCGGGTGCCGCGTCATTCGATGGATGCGTGCCCACTTCCCGTGTGTGGGCGTGTGGCCGGCGGGGTGGGTGTTCGCGTTGGGTGTCTCGTGTTGGCTGCCGCTGCTGCGGTGTGTGTGCGGGGCGACGCCGGTGGCTGAACAGCCTTCAGTGGGGTGCAATGTGAAGCTGGCGGTGGAGGTTGCTTGTGAGCGGGTGAATGAAGGCAATTTGACGTTTTGAGTGCGTGGGAGCAACGCGTGGGTTGCGTGTGCGTTGGATGACGAAGATCGTGCTGCGTTGCGCAACCAAAGCCACGTTGTTGCTGGTGGGATGAGTCGGGGTGTGCCGTTGTCGGCTCCGAGGTGAAATCGTGTGGCGCCACAGGGGGCCGCAATGAAACTGTTTGCGCCGCGGCCGAGTTGATCTGCGCATCGCACAGCTGCATCACCAGCTGCGAAGGAAAAGCAGAGGAGACCGTTGCGTTCACCATGGACCTTGCCGGCCATGAAGGCAGTGATCTGCACAGGAGATTGCAGGCAGTAACTGCAGCCGCTGGAGCTGAAAAGCCAAATGCAGAGAGCCGCAGTGTTTGTGGCGGGACGGGCGTCTGTCCGCTACCAACGCCCCATGAAGTGGTCGATGGCAGGGACGGTGCTCCCGCAACAGGCAGAGGCAGCGCCACATCCGCCACTGCCATTGCCGCTGGGAACGGCGCTCCCAACGACACGGACAGCAGTTACACCACCACGCCGTTTGTGTCGACACCTCTGCTGCTGCTGCTTGTGGCTGCCGTTGCCTGCGCTGCTGGGCGGTGGGGGGGCAACCACACACACACACACACACACACACTGGGAGGGACGACGCATGCTCTTAGTGCGCACATTTTGCATGTCGTCCCTGTGAGCCAACGTCTCTCTTGTGCCTTGAGGGATGCTCCTTCTCCTCTTTACTTTCGTGTATCTTTATTTTGTTTGAGGGTCAATTCGCAGGGGCGCATCTCTCTTCTGCTCTTCTCTGCTTAACTCTCTCTCGCCGCACCCTCCCTTTGAAGAGCCGTGTGCGTCTCGCTTGGCTGCTGCTCTCACACCCACAGGCACGCGGAGACCGTGAGGTGCAAACATGACGGTGTGCGTGCGTGTCTCACTTTCACCCTCTCTCTTCCTCCTTCTTCTCTCTCGCCCCTCGCTAG